TCAATACAAATAAATACATTTTAATACTCCACATACAAATTAAACATTAATTTGATATATGTACATTAAACATTTATACAAACATAGCTACAGACGTTTTATAATTAATATTTGGTTATTTTTGCATACATTCCTCACATTTTATAATCAATCAATTCCAACATATCGTTTTATTTAGTATTTTCGTCGTCACATACATATATGCTCTGCTTGCGCACATTTCAAGTTCGTACATTTTTGCCTACATGGCTTGAATATTTTTTACTACGAATAATTTGTGTAGGAAAATATTTTGATATTATAGGCAAGCAATATCCCAGCTAGCATTTGGAAGATTGTTGGATGATTAATAAGTAAACTGAGTCATTTTTGACTCCTTTTGATGACCTAAAAGTGATTAATAAGTTGAGCGCTTAAAAAATGACTCGAAAATGATCCCGATATATGATTGAAAACTGAATATTTGAAAAAAATAACAAAATGTATAGCAATCATAAATTTATCATCTTGGTGTTTAAAATATGATTATTTTTAAAAATTTATTTTGTGGTCATATTTCTAACAGTTGGAAGATCTAAAATTGTTCCTTATGTAATTGTTTTTGTATGTAATGAAATAGCAACACTTACACTTAAAAATGACTCAAAAACGATTCAAAAATGAGTCGAAACTGATTAGAAATGGGGCTCAGAAAATACTCTTTTGGAAGAGTTAGCAAAACATTTTGTGTGGCCTAAAATGAGTTGATATAATTCTCATTTCGTTTATAAAATTAAATGTATAAGTATTTGAATTTGTGTGATATTTATAAAGTCGATTTTCTGTCAAGGAAATTGAAATTATATTATGCTTTAATTATAATAATTTTCTGTGTTTAATGATCTTCTACGAAAGATAGTTGGGCGACTAATCACTAAACTAAGTCTAAATAATCCAATTAATGTTTGAAATCTGATTTATTTGAAAAACAATAACAAAATGTATACCAATCATAAATAGGTCATCCAGGTGTTTGAAATATGATTGTTTATAAATTTAGTTTGTAGTTATATTTCGCGCAATCGGAAGATCAAAAACAGTTTTCTGTTGTATTGTATTTGTCTGTAACAAACATAAAAATTACTCAGAAAATACTCAAAAATGACTATAATATGATTCGGAAATAACTCAAAACCGACCAGTTATTTGGCTCATTAATGACTCAAAAAAGATTAAAAAAATAGTCATAATTGATCAGAAGTGGGGCTCATATATGACTCATTTAGAAGAGTCGCGGGTAGTGTACCATTTTCTCCCGACGAATGTATCATTTATGATCAGAAAATGAGCGCATATATAATCATTTTAATCGTGCAGAAGAGTCATAAATGACTCGAATGTGATCAAAAATTTCAAAATTTGCTAGCTGGGATAAAATATATGTGGGTATTTTATTTATATGCATATTTTTTCTCTGAATGAATTCTATTGACAAGATTTTAATTTGTAAAATTTTGTGAAGATATCAACATTGTGACGGAAGTTATTAAAAAAAACCATTTTCCGGGAATATGTACTTTTGTATGGGAGGTATATGAAATTGTGGACCGATTCTGGCAATTTTCAGCAAAAATCAAGCTCTTGTGTAGAAACGAATGTATGATGATTTTTATGGAATCAATCAGAATGTGTACAAAATGCTTATTTTTTTAAGAGTTGTTTTAAATTTCGATTCATAACCGATTTTGCTCATTTTCAATGCCAAGCCACATAGGAATGAAGAACATTTTGGGTGAATTTGGTTAAATTTTATTGCTTCGTTTTATCGTGAGCGTGTTTTACACAAACAGACGGACATAGCTAAATCGACTCAGAATTTGATAAGGACCCAGAATATATATACTTTGTTGGGTCTCAGATGAATATTTCTTGATGTTAAACACGGAATGACAATGTTATATATGCCCTCTATCACCACTGATTGTGGTGGAGGGTATAATAAATAAATTTCACAAGGAAATATTTTTTGGTGCATATTTTCCACATTTTTAGTGCATATTTTCCCATTTTATAGTGCATTAACATGCATATTTTTCATTTTTTAGTGCATGAAAATACTAGCCTTGGTTGACAATGGATAAATTGTACTTTTTACCTTTAATATTTAAATGTTTTTGTAGATTATAATGTTACATATCGTCATATGAAATCCAAAAAGCCCTAACTCACATTAAACAAATTTTACAGGAGAAGCAAAAGACTTTATAAAGTGGAAAATAAGCCAATTTTTTTATCATTTTCTCAGTTAAGCTTAATTTGTATTAGGAAATTATTATATGAAACAAAATTTCCAGTTTTTGTGCCACTTTCCGAGATATGAAACTTACGCCTTTGAAAACTTGTTTTTTTCTGAAATCAAAAAAGGCGTAAGTTACATTAAAAAAATTATATAAGTTAATTTTTAAGAGATATTTTCCAACTTTCATAAATTATATTAAATATAAAAAAAAAAAAATTATATTAAAAATTATATAAGTTAATTTTTAAGAGATATTTTCCAACTTTCATAAATTATATTAAATATACATTTTTATATTTTTAATTCATTTTATTTTCAACTATTTATGACTAATAACAATATATAAAAAGTCATTTACAAAAAATAATGAAATTATACGAAATTCATATAATAGGAAGATACTAAAATACTACATTATGTATTATTTTATTTGGCATTTTCATGCGGTAAATTAGTATAAAAATCACGACAATCTTTTGGTATAAATGTTTTAAGATCATTAAGATGTTCCCACTTTTTTTGTGAAATGTTTAATCGTTGAGTATGTAATGGGGAAGGTTCGTTATTATGATAATTGTTGTGGAAGAACTGCATATTAAGGTGGGTCGAAAAAAAAGTTGAATCAGTCACCCCCTACGATTAAAGATATGTTAATAACATTTCCAAAAATATAAAAAATATTTTTTTGCCACGCCTAGAAATACCGCCCTTTTTGTTTTTTATATATTACGCCGCCATTTTAAGCTCGATCGTAACATATAATATATCAATATTTATGGCTTGACTGTAGCTATATTTCACACTTAGACAATTTTTTAATTCGACATCATATTCTATGCGCGACTTCTGATATCTCGGATCCTCCCCCAAAATCTAAAAATGTGGCTATACTGGAATAAAGTATATTTAATTATATGAGCTATTGGTTTTTAAAATGCTCAGTTTTATGCCTAAACAGCTATTTTACAGGTATTTAAAAATACCTGTATAGTTCTAACTACAAACAATTAATTTGCTAGGGATATGATCGAAAACTATTTTTTCAAATTAATTTACAATACACAAATTTCATTCTGTCCTTATCTTAACACAAGAATGATAATTTTATTCAGCATTTAATTTTATTAATTAATAACAAAATCACGTAGGTACATATTAACTAAACATTTTATTTTATAAAAATCTGTGCAAAATTAAAGAGTTATGCTTTATAAAAATATTTCATGTTTTTACCATACAATTACTTGCATGTTTCTTGTTTTTTTTTAACAATTTTCAAAAATGTTTATACTAATTTTTATAAAATGTAATAAATTTATTTAATGATAGATTAACTTTTCTTAAATAGTTATATATTTTTAAAGAAGTTCTTGAAATAAAAACTATTAAAAAAATAATCGGGAATGGCCGACCATATGATACCAGTTATGAATATATCTAGAATGTGATTTCTTATTTAAACAACTTCGTCCTTTGGTAAAATGAGATATTTGAGCTTATTTTCATCAAATTATTTGGAAAATTGCGACTTATAGTTTTACAAGGTTTACACGGACGGACAGTCGGACGGACATAGCTAAACCACTATATTGCTGCAGGATATACATACATAGTTAACTTTCTGCTATTTTGAAAGGATCTGAAATGGTTTGTAACTGAAAAAATGAAAAGGATTTCTGTTTTATATAGTTCATTTAAAAAATGTTCGACTGTTTTTCCTGGCAAATTAATTGTTTGTTGTGAGAACGGGTGATAAATACTTCAACATTTCCAAATATCTATAAAATAGGTGTTTATGCATAAAAGTGAGCATTTTAAAAGCTAATAGTTCATATACTTCAATGTACTTTATTCCAGTATAGCCACAATTTTAGATTTTGGGGAAGGATCCGAGATATCAGAAGTCGCGCATAGAATATCACGTCGAATTAAAAAATTTTCTAAGGGTGAAATATAGCTACAGTCAAGCTATAAATATAGTGATATCACATCTTACGATCGGACTTAAAATGGCGGCGTAATATATAAAAAACAAAAAGGGCGGTATTTCTAGCCGTGGCAAAAAATATTTTTTATATTTTTGGAAATGTTATTAACATACCTTTAATCCTAGGGGGTGACTGACACAACTTTTTTTTGTCCATAGATACCGACCCACTCTACTGCATATTCATCTTTGACATTTGTTTTAAAATAAATAGTTCCAGACGGATCATATGCTAGTGCACGAATTTGATTGACGGTTGGATCTCCAGTTTTTTTCTGCATTGGTTTCTATTGTATTAACAGATCATAAAGAGGTATGTAAGAAAGAATTTACCTGGACGAATGGAGGAGTAAATCTTAGAAAGTGTGTCGTAATTAAAAAAAAAAAAAACGAATGAGAAAGGTGATGGGTATTAAGTGGAAATGGAGACATTCGGGAATCCTTAACAAACTGAACGAATTCAGAAGGAAGGTTAATTTTTTTATTATTAATTTTTCTTTGAATACGTGAGTGAGTTGAATCGCATTCCATTTGAGTGTGTCCAACGATTAAATATTTTTGCTCTATTGTTATGTTGTTTTCTATACATAATGAAAGCAATGCGTTTGCCAGTATTATATTTCGATTTTGATAAAAACTTCCATCGGAATATATAATAATGTGGTGAATATCTGGCGACTGAATTATACATTTCTTTAGATGTTTTCTGATACATGTGGTAAAAGTTGAAGCTACAAGATTGCCTTCCGATTCGTCCCAGATATAATTATCGGAATCATGACTAATAATATCATAAATGGTGAAATTATGCACCTGTAATTTCATTTCATAATATGAAGCACTTGCATTTGTTTGGGGTAACAATTTAACAGCTTGCACATCCATACATAATAACAAACACAATTTACACTTGGTATTTTCAATATCGCTTTCTTTTTCTGCTCTCATGTCATTTATTTCTGATCTATGTTTGTTATATTTATCGTCACTTATATTTTTAGTTTCATATGAAAGTGTCACACATATCATTCCTTGGCTTAAATAAGGAAATATTTTGTTCTTTTATTGTAGACATAAAATTTGGATATGATACGGGCGAAATTTCGTCATCATTGTTATTTACACATTCTTCGCAATAGTTTGTTTGTGTATTGCCTTCGGTAAAGCTATTGAAGCTTTGGTATATTATTAAGCCAATTCTTTAAAAAGTTAAGACGTTTTTCGTATTTTTTATCGATAATCGAGGTTTTTCTTTTTGGAATTTTTTATACCAAATGTTACCATCTACCCAATTTCTTATCATCTTTTCATTTATTCCGAGTGTTGACATAAACATTTGCCGGCAAACTTGGACACGAATCATCTTACCTTTTAAATAATACCGTTTAGATATCGATCGTCGCGATGGTATATTACGGTTCTGTGCTTTTTCTGTTAATTCTACTTGATATATCCTTTTTTTCATTCCAGGACATGTTCCAGAATCTATCAAATATTTCTTGGCGCATATTTTCTCGAAACTGAAGCAATGACGCAATGAGCTCTTTTCACAATATTTACTTCGAAAACCTAACCCCATCATTCGAGGATAGTTGCTACACATAATTCCTTTCTTGTATCCATAGTACTTTTTTCCAGCCATTCGTTCATTATAATTTATTTTTTTTTGTATTCGCTGAGTTATTAATGTTAGTTTTACCACCCATTTTTATAAAATTATCTTTAAATGAGACTTTAATAAATTTCACAAGAAAACTTTAAAATAATTAATAACAAAATACACAAGGAAAATTTGTGTTTTTTCTATCAAAAGGCGTACGTTACATTTTTCGTTAAGTATTTTTTTAATGTTGCACTTAGGGCTTTTTAAATTTTCTTTATAGAGACGTTGTTTTTAATTGTAGGAGTATAAAATTTTGCAGGGACATGTATTGCGATGCACAGTGGGGCAGAATGGAAATTTTTTGGAAATAAATCTGGCATTTCTAAACGGCTGATCCGATCCGGGATAAAATTTGGCGTGAGCGTAGCCAAGGAGTATTCGAGTTTAAGTTTTGAAGATGAACCCTGCAGATGCCCCAGGGACGGCGCTGTGGCGGCTCAAAGTAGGGTACCTACGACATGTAAAATTTTTAAACTCGTGCCATTTTTTTGTTTTTCACCCAAATACAACGATTTTTATATTTTCTGAAAGCGCTCGACGAGATCTTGAAAAAACATGCTTATAATTATCTCTTATAATATCTGAGTTATAGGCATTTAAAAATTTAGTGATACAAAATTTACCATACCTTGGTCCGCCTTTTTTGGAATACCGGGCGTAATTTTGGACCAATTTTTTCTTGTTAGTTAGACAACAAAATTTCCAATAATATACAAAAAATTTCAGATCAATATCATTTACAGATCCAAAAATATACGTTTTTTAATTTAAAAATTCAAAAAATTTTAGATTTTTGCCGTTTTTTGCCAAAAATGTGTCTTAACTCTTTTATTAATAAAATAAAATTTTCTTTAAGAACATATAACAATTTTATAGTTTTCTAAAAGGTATCTTTACGCAGAACGCTTTGGCGTAAAAAACTTGTCCTATTTTTTGAAAATGTTGCCACTGCGTCCTTCCGAATATGACCTATTTTTCATCAAAACTTCAACTTTGGGCGACATGTTCTAAAATCCCAAAGCTGGGATCAGAAAACTGAAAGCAGTTTTGAAAACCTCAATATGTTTTCTATTTACTCCAAGAGTATTTTCCCAGCCCTGAAAGAAATGTGGACCCTATGGGTAAAAAAGTAAAAATCCCATTTTTGGGATTTTTATTCCTATTTTTGGGAATTGCGGGATGCCCTTTGACCTTTTAAATTTTTTTTTGCATTTTCTTATTTGAAATGACAAATTTAACAAGCGTTGAAAATTTCATTGAGTTTTGTTAATAAATAAAGATTTTGTCAAATATTACATATTTGTATAATTTCTAAAACTATGATTTATATCAAAATTTCATTGAGTTTTGTTGATAAATAAAGATTTTGTCAAATATTACATATTTGTATAATTTCTAAAACTATGATTTATATCAAAATTTTAATAGGGTCGCAGATAGCTACAACAATTTAGTCCATATTTATCCCTTAATATCATTTTTTAGTTAGATATGGAAATTCTCGACCCTTTAAAAAATTTCAAGCCAATATCTCAATTACATTCAAAAATATGTTCATTTAAACCTGTGTCCTTTAATTTCATCTTTTTCATATTTTAGTATTAAGTATGACAGAACATATTTAAATCTTATATTTACATATTTTCTATTTGTTTGCTTATCCTTATAATTGAAATTATCAAAAATTTATAACTATTTTTTACCTAAATTTTTTCGACAGATCATTTCGTTCTGTTTCGTTTATGATCATGTAGGTAAAAATATACAGGTAATGATAATTTCGATTCATTCACTAATAAGAAATATCAATGACTGAATTGCAGGTTATAGTAATATATTCCTAAATGTTAATAGGTAGACAATTCGTAATTTTTTACTTTGGAATACCTGTATCGGAAATGACAAGAATTGGTATATAAGTAAACTTCTTAGATAAATCTACAATGAAGATTACATTAAAGTACGAAGAGTTGTGTTCCGTTTTATGGAGTGTATCTTCAAAAGGGCCAGAAAGAATTGAAGACATTTCAAATTATATAAAAACTACATATAGTAGAAAAGTAGACAAAACAGGCATATCAAAAATTGAAAACTTTTTAAAACTTTTTGATGTAAAAAGCAAGTCTGTGGATGGAAATCAAAAGAAATTTCGATTAAAATTTTGTAGTTGGATGGAAACTACTACGGAAATCTCAACTTACAACACATCAACAGGAGCGCCTTGCAAGTCATACGAAGACTTATGTTCAAGGTCAAAAAAAAGAGGGTCACACAAAAACTTTTTTCAATCTCAAATGAGGAAATTGCTGATACATTTAACGAAATGCTGAAAAAGGAAAACCAACCTATGGATGTCGTACATATTGCAACTATTCTTCCTAATGCATCACCAAAACGACTTAAGCGAATTGTGGAAAGTATACCAACTCCAACATCACAATCAAATTTTACTGAAGAGGAAGCAATAGCGCTTATGTTGGAACTGGGTCTCAGTCGAAATAAGTACCAAATATTAAGGAAAGCTCTGCATGAAAAAGGACACAATATATTACCATCATACAAGGCGATCCAGGAAAAAAAAAACAAACTATCCTACCATCACCTATTGCTGTTAATGATGTGGAAACTTGTATTGATATATCATCTTTGCTCGAAAACACAGCATCAAGAATTGTGTCAGACTTTTCAGAAGACCAACTAAGGAAAATTCATAACTGTGATGTTGTCTTAATGTGTAAGTGGGGATGTGATGGTTTATCAGCACTTCCAGAATACAAACGAGCTTGTGGAAGTCGGACATAGCAGACTACAAAAGTGTATTTATGTCATCATTAGTGCCATTACGAATTCGTTCATATTCCCTTAATCCATCATCGTCAAGCATCGGAAATTCATTTGAAGATATATGGATCAATACAACTCCGGGTTCAAAAAATTTTTGTTGACCCATTGGATTTGAATATATAAAGTAGTCAAAGAAAACAACAAAAGATTTAGTGGAATATTTAAAAGATGAAATAAATGCACTGGAGCTCATTTGCATAAAAATAAAGGAATTCTCTATTAACGTATCATATCAGCTAAGCTTAACAATGATTGATGGAAAGGTCAGCAATGCCATAACAGAAAATTCTTCCTTCTGGAGATGCTCAATATGTAATGAGAAAAAGTCGCAATTCTCAAATATAAACAAAAGCAGAAGTATTAATGAAGAAGTCCTGTCTTTCGGAATTTCACCACTTCATGCCAGAATACGATTTTTGGATTACTTTTTACACATAGCATACGACCTCAAATATAGAAGTGTGCCAGAGAATCTTACTAAATCAACAAAAAATAATGAAGAATTGAAAGAACTGAGAGCTGCGGAAAAAAGCAGAATCCAAGAAGAATTTAAAGTTCAGATGGGATTAAACATCGACAAACCACTTCCAAGTTGCGGTAGTACAAATGACGGTAATACGGCTAGAAGGTTTTTTCGTGATTTTGAAATTACTTCAAAAATAACTGGAATCGACAAGGAGTTGCTTCGAAGAGTTAACACTATTTTAATGGCACTGAATAGTAAACATAAAATTAATGGAAATCGATTTGGGGAATATACATCTGAAATTTCTAAATTACTTGTATCTCTGTATCCATGGAGGGAACTAACACCAACAGTACACAAAGTATTGTGTCATGGTCAAATAATAATTGAATCGAATATTCTTCCACTTGGAGGGTTAACAGAAGAAGCCCAGGAAGCGAGGAATCGAGATTTTAAGCATGTTCAACTATTCAGCTCAAGAAAATGCTCCAGGCAATCACAGAATGAAGATATTTTTAATAGTTTACTTCTATCTTCTGATCCTGTTCTTTCAACTATGCGAAAAAGATGGATTTGTTATGAAACTATATCATCTCAAAACAAGGAAGATTTAAAGGACTTATATTACCTTCTGGATATGTATAACGATATGACAGATTATTTTATAGAAAATAAGTAGTGTTAGGAATTAACTATATAAGTAGGTTGTAAGAATTAATTGTATTATGTTTAAGATAAACAGTTCAAATAAAAAAAGCTATTATACTAACTGATGATATTGTATTAAATTGTGTTTTATGTTTCGGTGGGCGGGAAAGGTGGTTTGTGTGGGGTGATTTAGGTGTTGTTGTGCGTGGCTCATAATAAAATTATAATTTTTTTATTGTATATACAATGTTATACGCTTGTATTTATAAAAAAATCTTATTTTGCTTTTGATGCACTCAATAGTTAAAGCACACTTTAGCCTTAAAA